TTAATTAATTAAAAGTTTTTTAATAAAGTTAAAAAAGTTTCTTAACTAAGTTTATAAAGTAAACTTTTAAAAATGTTATTTACTTAGAAGCTATATTGCTAAAATTAATTGTTAAAATTTTATTATCAAAATTAATTTTTAAAAAAAGATGTAAGCAAATTTGTATGCAATACAATTTAAGGAATAGTTAACTGTCTTTTGTGATTGGTTAAGATAAGATACCTATAACTTGTATCATATTAGCATGACTAGAAGGTCTAAACACTTATATAACATTGTAAGAAGAAATACAAACTGGTACTGAATGATGTGAATCCAAGATAAGTTCTTAAACTATATAAATTACAAGAACTAGGTAGGAAGATAGAAGTTTAGTTAGAAGATCTGAATAAAGAGATAACTTAAACTTTCAATAATATTATTATATAAAGACTAAATTTATAAAATAAAGCTAGAACTTGTAAAATCAGACAAATGTGTCTATCTTTAAGAAGAGACCAGATGAACTAATCAGGCCACTGGAATTTCCAGATTTTGAAGAAAAAAAATACATGTTAGCAAATATATAAACCAGAAATGTATAGTTTTGATCTATCTTTCTGAACTATCTGGAATGACAGTTTGGTAAAACTTGAATTGAATACCAAAGTAATAAGGATATGTTGTAAAGTTAATACTAGGGTTGAGGTAAACTCTATAAAAATATAGTGGTTTAATGATATATCTTAACTGTTAGTGTTGGTTTCAGCCATAATGATACCAGATTAGTTGTAAGAATAAAATACAGAAGATTCTAAAAGGTTTAGTACAAGGTCAAAGGTTCCAAAAAACTGGTTTAAAGACTTAGTAATCATGACATATTTTCATTAGCATTGGCTAAGGTCATTGGTAAGTAGAGGTAAATAAGTAGATATAGAAACTAAAGTAATTAAATAGAAAACCTAAAAGTAGGTTCCAGGTATGGCAGCTAGTATAGAACCTTCAGATGAACTACTTAAATTGGACAATGACTAAAATTGTATAAGTAACTAGTTGTATACTCTTTCTATAATTGATTTTTGTAGTTATAATGTAATCATTAGTCCAATATACTATTAATAAAATCCTGAATCACAAGTATTCATCTTAATATTTAAAATAATAATAATAATAATAATAATTTTTAAAAGCCCAATATAGGCTTATAATTGTGACCATTCAATAGTCATATAGTAAGAGTTGTATATATATTTTCTTTTTTTTTCTTATTTCTTCTCTTTCCTTCTTTTATTTCTTGCATTTGTATTTTTTATCATCTACTCTTATACTTCTGTGTTTTTTTATAATATTTTTTTGTTTTTGTTTACTTTTCTATAAGAAGATGTTATCAGATTAGCAATATCCTATTATAGAGTAGTGGTCAGATATAACCTTTAACATATTCTAATTTCTTTTGAAGTTAGATAGTCAGTGCAAACAAATCACTTATAGAGATTTATAGAAGCATCTACAAAATGTTGGGCTAGAATTTATGAACTAATTTGTATGTATATAATACAAAAATATATAATAAAGATGATCAGCAAAACTGCTCAAGTGAAGAAAAATAAAATAAAATAATTTAAAAATCTTTACAAATTACAAATCTGAAGTATTTAAAAAATAAAGTTTAATTTGTTATAAATATATTATATAATTTATTTAGTATAATAATAGAATTAAAATTTGGTAAAATAAAATATAGTAATTTAGTATAATTAATAAGTTAATACTTTTCAAGTAATAAGTTGTAAGTTTAAAATCTACTAAAAATAAAAATTTATAAAACCAATTATACTATAATAACTGTTTTTTATTGATTAATTAGAATAAGATATCTGTAACTATAATTATATTAATATAATTAGTAAATTATAAGATATCTATATAATTTTGATTATATAATAAAATGCAAACTAGTACTAGATAGTACAAACTAGAAACCTGCATTGGGTCTCACAACCTAACCCAGCCTGATGCATCTGCAAATTTTTGTAAACTGAATCAAGTCTGAAGCAAAATTTTATAATTGTAGGTTGGACTGAACTTAAAATTTTGCAAAATTATATAAGAAATTTTGTGAACTTGGACAGGCTGAGCTGGATTGAACTAATAAAAAAAATTTTAACCCTAAATGCAGGCTAGGCCAGGCCTCAAAAATAGGCAATTTGTAAGCCTCTAATACAAACCTAAAATAAATCTTTGTAACTATATAAATCCATAAAACTGAAAAAACAAAACCCTATTTGAGAAAATCTAAGTAGAGAAATAATATAAACTTTTAATAATACAACTGTAAAGACTAGATCTAGAAAACAAATAATAATATAAAAAAATTAGATTAATAAGAATCTTTAGATAAGAATATTATTAAACAAGTACTAAATTTAGATTAAAGAAAAAGAATATTAAGCTAGACTCAATATATATTAATCCAAACTGATTATAACTGAAATTTTGTCCCAAATCCTATTTCATACAGTGAGTTCAAGACAAATTTAATAACTTTAACTAGTCCTAAATAATGGTTAATTTCTTAGAAAATTCCAAAGTCCCAAACTAGTTAGGTTTGGACGGCAACTATGAATATAACGAACCAAAATCACCAGTTTAACAGACCAAATTTGAAGTACCGAATATTTAATATATAATTTATAATGGCTATGACGGATTTAATAGTAAAAAGGTCATATTACGTATAACGGAACTCTTTGCCAGCCCATATACTGATTTTATTATAAAATTCTAATCTATATAATGAATTCAATATAATGCGACAACTTGCAACCAATAAGAATGCAATATTTATATATATATTTAACCATTATAACTGAATCCAGCCTAACTCTGTTATTAATCCCGTTATATAGGTATATGGGTATATAGGTACGTATAACGAATATGCTATATAACGGAATTTTTGGTCAGCCCAGATTTCCGTTATATCCATAGTTGACAGTAGATATTATCTTTAGCTATATCATTCATTATATAGGATGGGGTTTATCTATTTTTAATTAATTAAAAAATTATAAATTTTCACCAAAGTTTAAGTAGTAAAATTTTAAATTAATTTAAGTGGCAAAGCTAGTTAACAGTTAATAAAATATTTACCAAATTGTCGAAGTTTTTACCGTTTGCAGTAAAATATTTTTACTTACGTACCGTGTTTATCGGCACATACGAATATTTTTATGGTGCACACAGACGCATATTATATTATACGTATATATTTATTGTGTAACCTTGTCTATTACATATTACTGTAATAATTGCATCACTATGTGACTAATCCGATATGCTCCGTAAAAGTATCCGCAGGGGGGTGGTTTAGACCGCGAAATATGGTAGTGCACCGAATTTGGCTTATTTAATGAAAAAAGGGTTATGTGTGATAACTTTAGCCAATTCGATTCGACAAATTTATCGGCGTTACTTTTTCCGATGATTGTACACATGGTTGACTTAAAGACAGGGATAATAATATAGGCTAATCAGAGGATATTAGACCTTGAATAGAGTCACTAAATTTAGTTTAAACTCCTCATTTTATTTGTTTTTGATTGGGCTGACGAATTATTAGGGTAATTTTTGGATTTAATGAGGGCTTATTCCGCACGATTCTGCAAGAAGCATTTATGAATATGCATCAAACCCACTAGATTATCTTCAAGCCCATTAGATGATCATTAACTTATTAGCCTGGGCCTACTGAGACATGCTATTTTACATTGTTATTATGAGTAAATGTTAAAAAACAATTCAAACAATTGTATTGTCAAATAACTTGTCCCACTATCAAAAATTTGGGGGTACAGTATTATGCCGCATATTGATGCACCTTGGCCCATATGTCCAGTTAGCTTAGTTGGCTCATCCAAAAAAAAAAGGTTATAAAACGAAATCCAAGAAATTCGGAGATAATCATTGAATTGTACAAGAAATTCAAGAATAGGCTCACGTTTTTTTTTTTTATTGATCAAGAATTTGATAATTTAATGATATTTAAGGAAAAGAGGAAATTGAACTTTTTTCTAAAAAGATAATTATCATGCCTTCTTCCGCTATTAAAAGAAATAAGTTCGAAAAAGAAATCTTAGATATTCTTTGCCGTACTTGTGCAGTGTGTCATCGAATAAGGTAAATATCCCCAAGTTACATTAGAAATAAAAAATTGGTGAGAAGGCTTTCCGTGATATAATCATCAGCCGAATATAGATCAAGCATATGGTGATGACCCGCTGTGACAATGGTAACATAAAAATTCTCTTTCTAGACATTCACCAGACGGCAGATGGCCGGACATAATTGGAACCTTTACAAAAACTGTGATTCTTGTTCAATGTAAATACCATAAAAGAAGAAGAATCGGTGAGTATTGACCTGGTGTATTTCTTATGTGATATGATTAAAATAACTATTACTTAATCAAATATAAATTAATTATAGGTCCTACATCCGTACAAAAATTAGAAAGATTATTATCCAATTTCCCCAAAGATACAGTTGGAATCATAGTAATCCCGTCCAAAAATAAGTTTAATTATGGTGCCATAGAAAGAGTTAGAACATCTGAGCATAATATTATCCTAACGGATAGAAGACATTTATATTCAGATCTCATTCAATTCTTTGAAAATCATAAAATTCAAAGACCTCATAATTTTAATTTCAAATTAACTGTTTGTTTCTCAACTCTTATCGTTCTTTCATTAATTATTCAAATTACATGTTTATTTTTTAAAATAATATTTTCTTAATAAAAGTAGCTTTGTTTAGAGTAGAAATTATTACGTTAGATAAACAAATATCCTTTGAAATAAGCTACTTTTACAGATTTCAACTTCGTAAATTAATATTGTACTTTGCTGCAACAAAAAAGAATTGTTCACGGCATTTCGTTTCGGCGCATCTTGCCGCAGATGCTCATCTGTCTCTTTTGTAAGTTTCATTTTCCATAAATCCTCTTCACTACATGTGTTCGAAGGGTACTATAGCCGAGCAAGAGAAACATTCGGTTCACGCGAATTTTGATCGTTGATACGTTTCCTGTCTTGATTTTCATCCTTTAGTCACACGAGCATCATTCTAATTACAAACAAGATTTTTTATAGTGCTTAGATCAACAATTAAAAACATAGAAAGCTCAAGTTGCAATAATTCTTGAACCAGCGAACCCACACAAATAAAATTATATTTGCCGGGTTAGTTATAATGTACTCTTTAATGTGGCAACGC